CCTAGAGCTTAGGGTTTAAGGCAGGTTTAAGGGTTTAGGGGTTTAGGGTTTAGGAGCCTACATTCAAGTTATCAGGAGAAACTCGATGAAAACTCTACTTCCATACCATGGCAACTTTCAGTGTCAGACCCTGAGCGCAGCAGCCCCGGGGTATGGGGACTTGGCTTTGGGGCTCAGCGGGCATCACTGTCACGATTTGGTGGTTCAGGGTTCGCGTTTTGAGTTTTTGAAGTCTGAGCCCCATATTTCTGACCCCGAACTCGAAACCGCAAAGGAGCCTAAACCCTAATCCCTACACCCTAAACCCTAAAGGCATAGCATTCCGGTTTCGTAACCTTCCCTAGCAGTAAGCTCGCCCGAAAAGGAGTGAAGGGTTGTTTTAAAAATACCCTAAACCCTAAACCCAGGGTTCAGGGTTCAGGGTTTAGGGTTTAGGGGCAGAAAGATGGGCAAGGTACCTGCGCAACATCAGCAAGACGTTGGTCAACGCAGGGGTGACCGTCCCGGCCTCAACGTAAGAGATGGGAGGTCAGCCACAGACTGCACCCTTTGAGCGAAGGGCCCCGTCATGAAATAGCTGCTGTAAGCACCGCGCAAGCCCAGCACCAAAAGCATCGGAGCCAGGATGGTGATAAACTTTTCTGCAAGTACATCTTCTCAGTCCTTCTCTGTGAGATTCTCTGTGGTGGGACTTGCGCATGTCTTTTCCCCTTAGAAGGGTAAAGGCCCGATAGGGCCAAAAGGTTTTGAAAATTCCCCTGGGTTTGGAACAGGTGAGCCCTTGACCCGACAACCTTCAGCCCTCTCAACTTTTTCAGTGGGTTGTTCTTTGAGGCTTATGGGCTTAGGGTTGGGCATCTTCTAGTGGAGGGAGGCCGCATGACCTTGCGTTCGAAGTTCGAGGTCTACTGAAAGGAGGGAGCGTTATGTTGGCGACAGGGTTTTCAATCCGGAGCCTTGTATTCAGGGTGCCCATGGGTGCCCTAAAACCAAAACCCCTAAACTTCCTCAACCCAAAAGGGTAATTATCGGGCACGACCTCGTTTGATCAGCCGGCAGGATCCACCCGAGGTCTTCTGAGAGAGCTCTGTGCCGCTGTCAACTAGAAATGTCACCGGGTGCACCAGCGTCCGGTAGTGGAATCTTGTCTCGACTTCGCCGTCCGAGTTATCTCAAACGGTATGGACGTTCATATCTCAGAATCCGGGGCGAATCGTGGCGCCTGCATGCAAACCGATGTGCTGCCCCGGCAGGGGCCAACAAAGTCGCAGAAGAGAGCTTTATCAGCCATAGAAATCCAGCAGAAACAGCAACTCTTGGCCGTCCAGTGGTGTCGGTGGCCCGCAACTGTTTAATCATCGGAATTTTCATGTCACTTTTCACTCGGCAATGAGCCTGCAAGGGTACCCAGGAGCGGCATCTGCCTGTAGTCAAAAAGCTTCACTGAAAATAGCACAATAGTATAATCGTATAATCGTATAATAGTTTTAACAGTATAATTTGGGTTCGGCCGGTCCACACTAACAGTCAAATAACGCCGTGGCCTTATAACACACAGGCCAAAAATAGCACCAGGAATCCCAGTCAATTTTAGCATTTACCGGGTGCTTCTTTTTGTGGGTCTGCTGGTGGTGACTGTTAGTCACATAGCAGCAGAAATAGCACCAGAAATAGCACAAACAATAGCACAAAAAATAGCACCAGAAATAGCGCCAGGAATAGCACAAAAAATAGCACCAGAAATAGCACAAACAATAGCACCAGAAATAGCACCAGGAATCCCAGTCAATTTTAGCAGCTTAGCATTTACCGGGTGCTGTTTTTTGTGGGTCTGCTGATGGTGATTGTTAGTCACATAGCACCAGCAACAGCACCAGAAATAGCACCAGAAATAGCACAAACAATAGCACAAAAAATAGCACCAGAAATAGCACAAACAATAGCACAAAAAATAGCACCAGAAATAGCACCAGAAATAGCACAAAAAATGCACCAGAAATAGCACCAGAAATAGCACCAGAAATAGCACCAGGAATAGCACCAGGAATAGCAGGAATCTCAGTCAATTTTTTGGCATTTACCGGGTGCTTTTATTTGTGGGTCTGCTGGTGGTGACTGTTAGTGTGGACCGGCCGAACCCAAAGTATAATAGTATAATAGTATTCAAGAGAGCCAGAGCTCCTTCGGAGCTTAGCCTAACATGGCTGCCATGTGCTTTTCGATGCTTCCCGGTGCCGTTCCCGCTACTTCGAACATCTTCGAACGGATCGCGTCTGCGCAGGTGGACGAAGAGCAGGTTCGGCACGCAATGGCAGATCCAGAAATTCAGCAGATCCTGCACGCCACGGGCCCAGCTTCCGGGTTTCCACGTGTCCCGACCCTGACGTCTGTGTATGTGTGCGCGTGTAAGTGTAAGCGCAAGGTCAGTGTGCGTTACCTGAGTGTAAGTGCAAGTGTAAGTGTGTAGGTGTGTAAGTGTTTGCTTGCCAGCTTGGGCACCCGTGCATCTGTGAGAAGATGTTGTGACAGGACCCTCAGATCAACATGTTCCTGAAGGAAATGCAGAGCAACCCACAAGAAGCGCAGAAGCAGATGATGTCGGACAGGGCTGGTTGTGTGAACTACACTGACAGCACATGCTCCCGCAAGGGTCCTAAGCTCATTGAGATCGGAAGCCTGGCAACGCCATGTAGGACCCAAAGCTCCAAGAAGCTGTGTCCAAGCTCATTGCAGCTGGTATCATCCGCACGGGCTAGGCCAGGCCCGGTATCATGCTCAACTGTTCGTCAAGAAGCTACTGGGCGAGTAGCCTTAAGTTGAATGAGGTGCATGATACAGCATGTAAAGCTTCTGGTCACGTGCGTTCGAAGGCTTCGAAGTCTGCTGAAGCCTTCAAACGGCTTAGCAACTTCCCGCGTCCCTGACAAAGCTAATTTCGTTTGCTCACTCAGACCATGCTCTCAGGCGTGCAAGTGTGCGCCGCAGTTAGTGACGACAGTAGTCACGACGCAGTTGCGTGTACCGCTCAACAGACTCTACTGCCAAAAATGTGCCGCTGCCAAACAGGCACACATGTGCTCTACTCGTAGTCTGCGCACTGCTATGAACAGTGCATTGCACATGGACTAGCTAAAACCTCTCAGCGATAGCAGCACTCCCTTGTGGCAAACCTCTGCAACAAGTCATACGACGTGCTGCGGCAACAGCACCCGATTTTACAATGTGAAGGGTTGTGTGGCATTGCCTCAACACAATGGGTCCTGAAGGGCATGAGCGCATGGTGGGAAGGTCCTGAAAGTGCATAATTCCAAGGCGTGATGTAGTCTGCACATGCTTCCATAACAGCTGCGAATCCAAATATCAACAAAACCTGAAGGACACCCCACAAGCCCTGCAATCGGCTACATCACACGCATTGAGTCGGTTTCTTTAGGGCGAGTCGTGCGTGGGCTTGCCAAGCCTGGAGGGGGTTTGAGAACTTGAAGAAATCCCTAATGGGTTTAGGGTTAAGGGTTGAGGGTTTATTAGTGTTTTTTTGTGGGTTGCAAGACCACGTGAACGGTGAATTGGCAGGCCCACTCCTCACACATCCATGAAGCCAGTACAGTTGTGTATCATGGCTCGCAGTGAGCCGCAGTGGCGGCTGCTCTAAGTTTTGCTGGGCCCAGCAGATACCTCAACGGCGCTGGGCTTCTGATGGCTCAACTTGAGAGTCTTAATCTTAAAACTACACAATGACAAAGGGCCCTATTTCGTTCACACCAGCATTCGGAAGTAGCTCCCTGATTCAACGGTTTGGTGCCTACAAGAAAACCTCAGCGGCTTTCCGACGGGCATCTTGAAGTTCAAAGACCAGAGACCACCAGTCTGGGTCGTGCGCGCCAGCGCCGACTGTAAAAGACCGCTGCAGTCCGATGGTTTCGAAGTTTAGTTTCGATTACTTGTGATGTCCAAGACTTGTAACAAGAAGAGGTGCAAGTAGCACAGCTTTGCTTGCGCGTCATGCTTCTGAAGCTGCTTGTTTAGGAACTTCTAAATCTTCTGACCTATGTATGGTCCTTTTGCATTGACACACTAGGGCAGCAGCCTCCGTTCAAACTTCGTCCTTTGTGGCTTCAGCCGGGTAGGAGAGGCTCGGCACCTCCCAAAGCCATGTTGCGCGTGAAGGCCAGCTGCCACTGTGTCAACCTGATCTAAAGAGATGGAGGGGCCTGGGCGGTTCTCTAGATTAGGGTCCCCCAAAAAACAACAAGGCCCTGTAATGTAAACGGACCCTAATCTAAAGAGCCAAGAGAGCACCCCCTTTAGGTCGTTGCCGCCCGGGCCATTCAAGCATCATCCTCCTGTCTCAAGCGGTTCCTTCAGAGCTTTGAGAGTCTTGTACACAGCGCCGACCCGTGCTGTTAGACAGGCTGGGTTTGCTGACAACTGGCGTGTAGTATGCTAGGTCTTAGGTGTGTGTGTGTGTGTGGTAGATGTAAAAAAAACCTAGATCATGGCGGGGTTGACCAGTTGTGTACATGTCTATATATATATATATATATATATATTCAATAGACATGCGCAACTGCATAAATCAAGGCTTTGGGGAGGCTTGGGGATGTTTGTGCAGGTTTTAGGACTGCTACTTTTTCTGCATAGGAGATCGAAGCGGTGCTGGAGAAGACAGTAACTGCGTCTTGGCACAGCGTCATCTTTACAATGTTGAGCCGTGCTGTGTGGCAGCGTAGTAGCTTCGAGAATGATCTCTTTGTGATCTGCTCAGGATGATATCACGCCTCTCGGCAAGCCTTTTGAGTCATGTCATTTCCACTGTCCATCCCACTGGCTGTGGCAAGATCTCTTGGTGCGTTGGAATGTTCCCACTGTCACGGAAAGCAGCCCCCCCCCCCCCCCCCCCCCCCCCCCCCCCCAAAAAAAAATGAAAAGAAACATGCCCAGAATCCGAAACCCTCTGGTCTCTGAACCCTGAAACCTGCTCATCGGAGCTGAGGAACATCATGATCATCGACGAGGGAGGTGGCGTCATTGCAGCTGCCAGACCTAAGCAGGCAGCGAGTTGAATTAAGCAGTGAGAGGGTGTGGTGGTCCAAACGTGTCCAAATGTGTGCAACATGGCTTCCGAACGAAATGCGTTGGAAAGCTGCTCGTTTTTGAAGGTCGAGAATTCTGGACTGGCCGTCATCTCTGGCGCCACTGGCTCGGAACCAGATGACAAACTTCAGTTTTTGCCAAATGCTTGCAAAGATTGCCACCACGAACGCGGGAACGTGCGTCTGCGTGATGCACGGAAACTCCTCTAAGCATTGGGCTCTGCTATGGCTTGAAGGCGCTTGCCGAATTCAAAGTTGCTGGCGAATACATCTCTCCTGACTTCGTGCCGAGTTTCGAGGAGACCGCTGCACACTCTGTCCATCTCTGTCCCATAGAAACCTTGCACTTGGGAAACGGCTGCCGATTCGCAGCTTCAAAATTGGTCAGGATGCGTTGTTCACATGTGACAACGCGATGGTGGCCTGCACTACGTTTCTGCGTCTCGGCGATGGCTTAAGATTTGGATCGAGAGGAAGAGGGGCCCCCGTCTTCGGAAGCCCGATCTTGGAGTTTTTGGGTTAACGGATGGCATGAATACGGTGCACTGAGCGTTGTTTCTCAGGACGTCTGCGGAGAACCAGATGGCCCAAATCGTGCTTGTCGTGCCTGGGCCAACTTCAGGCTGATGTTCAGACATGTCAAGAACTTCCTGGTGGAAATGCTAAGTAGTGACGACCTTCCGTTTTACTCGACTGTTGGCAAGGGCGGAAAGGAGAGAAACCCTAAACCCTAAACCCTAAACCCAACATGTTCCAGAATTCCTTTCTCAAGCTTGGACTTGCCAGAGTCATGGTAGCCCTCGCAGCCCAAGCCTCCAGGTGTGGAGCGAATCTCACCAGAACCCGGCGGTTCTCTTCTCGCGGCTAGATGTTCTGAAGTACCTTGGCTTGCGATGAAACGTGCAGGAAACACAAGCAAAAGAAGCATCGTTCAAGTTATTTCTGGCTTAAGTCGTGTTGCCCTGAACCTAGGAAAGAGCTTGAGTGCATCAAGCCTATCCTGCAGCACTCCTGCGGAAAGCCCTACTGACCCAGATCTCTCGGTGCAGCGAGCACCTTCGTGACGACTCCACAGCATGGATTTGCACGTACAGTTGGTGGTTTCCGAATTTAGGGTACCTTATTCTTGGGGTCCTGATTAGAAGGGAATCCTACTATTGGGGGGTTTGGTTTCTGGGGTCCCATAATTTCGTAAACCACCATTTCAGCGGTCATGGAGATCCTAGTTTAAACCTACAGAAGTTACAGTGCATGCTAGGCCCAGTCACCAAGCAGCAGACAGCACAACCAACGAGTCAGTGTGATTACAAGTCAGCCGCAATCACAACGCATGAGTATCTGAGTGAGCGTGACATGGTAGCCGACAGAAATCGGCATTCAAGTACCAGCCGGGATTGCGCAGGACGGTTCTTTAGCCGTGCCAAGCTGCACAGCGGGAACAAAGTTGACATCCCTTCGAAGCCGCATGTCGCACCAAGCTTCAGGAAGCTTCGGCTTCCCAGAGTCCCAGAACTCATGCCCGGCCGCGCTTGCTGCCATTCTACACGCTGAGATCGACAACCTCCGGTATCAGAAGGTTGAATGCTTTGCTGGTCTGTTACCTGCATGCATGGCAAGCTCTGAGTGGCAGAATCGAAATAATGACATAAATTGCAGCCTCAGGAAGTCTTTGCGAATAAGATACAGCACTGCACGCAACATCAGCATTCATCAGCGCCAAGCTGTCTGCAGCCATGCAAAGTGGTGGCACCAAAGAGACCAGCAGGCAGGATGATGGATGATGCACAGGGCTTTCAGACTTCCGCATTGCCCTCTTCCGCAAGTCCTTTCCAAGCTCTGTGAATGGGAGGCTCCTCATCACCTTCGCCCGAAAGGGACGATGGGAGGGCGATGCCGGAATGAAGCTGCTGCTTGCAGAGGTCTGGGGTCGCAGAAGAGTTTGCGGCTTGGCTTCGGTGCCTTGTTGGGGATGGGGCTCACAGGCTGTCAAGATGCACATCGATCTGGACTACTCTGAGAAGCCGTACTTTCGGTGTGGACCTTGCCTGCTCCACATGCTGCTCCCCCTTCTTCTTGCTCACTGCTCCAAGACTCCCCCGAGCTCGGATGCGTAAGGAACTTCACAGAGCTTTTGCCGAGTTTTGCAGGTTCCGATGGGTTCTGAGAAGTTCTGCCGGGCTCAGGTCGGCCTTGTGGGAAGCAACATGGCGAAACCATGAGGTGGCAGCAACACGCTCCCCGCATCCATCACAGCTTCTTGCAAAATCAGGGGGGCAGGGACCATGATGCTTGACTCGCCATGAAGATCATGATGGTCATGGTATGTCATGGTGATGACGAGGAAGAGGAGCTGGAGGAGGAGGAGGAGGAGGAAGAGGAGGAGGACGGTGATGACGACAACGACGGTGGTGGCGCTGACGAAAACGACGAAGTGATGAAAGTGATGATGATGATGATGATGACAATGATGATGATTGATGATGATGATGATGATGATGATGATGATGATGATGATGATGATGATGATGATGAGAAGGTGAAGGGGCGCCTGGCGCTGACTAACTAAAGCAATGCCGGAAGTATAGGAAGCAAGTGCTGTCCCCGAGCGGTAGGAGGTCTTCTTCCTCATGCAAATCTGCGTCGCTGACTTGTGCACTCCTGACTTGCCAACAATCCCACACAAATGGCTGAAGAGGGGGGATCTCAGGAGCTAGGGCTTTCTAGGCCCAGGGTCCGAAGTTCTTGCGCCTTTGAAGGGTGCAAAGTGCTTTGAGTGCCGGATCCCAAACCCACAACGAGTCAACAGTCCTTAGCGCAGGTGATCGTGAAGGCCTTGGTGGAGAAGGGAGCAACCATCGATTTCAAGGACCCTGGATGCATCCTCTGCGCCATGTCAGCATGGAAGCAACGTATGGCACTGTTCCATCGAGGACAGAATTGAGCAAAGCATTGCAAAGTATTCAGCACACCAGCTTCAACCTTGTGCCAGTCCTGTCATTCCGGAGGATTTCCAGGAGCGAACACCACTTCACGAGGCCGAAGCGGAGACATGACCAGGGTTTAGGGTTTAGGGTTTCGGGTTTAGGGTTTCGGGTGAGTCATCCATTTGCACAGATTGGCATCCTGAAACGATGACGGAGGCTGCCTACTACGGCCACTTGAACCTGGTGGAGTATTTCATCGAGAAGTGCTTCTCCCGGAACTCATGCAGCATGAATGATCCTTGTTTGGGAGTTTTACCGTGATCACGTTGACCGTACCACATTCCATGTTCACGCCAGGGGCGCACCTATCAATGTCCTGGATAAGTTTGGACAGACTCCCTTGTTCAGAGCTGCCGGGAATCTCAGTTGTCATTGCGAGCTGTGTGCCTTTCAAGAGACTCCGTCTGCACTCTACATCGGCGTGTATTGGGATGCTAAAAAATCTCAGACACTTCTGCGCATTCAGAGCTATGAGGCGTAGGCTCTGTCCCCAAGGTGGATGGCGGTCGACATGAGGTTGTAAAGTATCTGGTGGAAAAGAAGGCCGAGACAAATTGGCTGGTGCAACACCCAGGAGGTTTAGGGTTTAGGGTTTAGGACTTTGCATGCTGCACTTGTTTCGGAAACGCGGCAGCTCATGACCAATGCTGAACATGCAAAACGTGGGATATCTTTATTGATTTGGCAGCATCATAACTTAATGAAGTAAGCAATATACAATGCACGTATCCAATGTACGAGTTCCAAAAAATGCCATATACAAGACATGGTAGAAAAGCAAATAGCAATCAACATAGCAGCATGCACTGTGATATAGTCTAGTACAATACACTGGAATAGAACGACAATAGAATCTTAAGCGAAAACACATTTGAACAGAATATATTTTGCAATATGTTTTATATTGATTTGTAGTATATGGTATAGCCTGATGTGGCTCGAGTACATGCTGGGGCCTGTACTTCCAAGGACAACGACCAATGTTCGGTGCAGCATTGCGCTGCCTTCCAAGGCGCGAGCGGGTTTGGGGTTTGGGGTTTAGGGTTTAGGGTTGAGGGTTAGCCCGTCCTTCATTGGACATTTCTTTGGTGAACCTTGTGGCTGGTACCACTGACCAGCTAGTTGGCAAGAGCTAGGGACTGCAAAAGGAGGCCCATCTTCTGCCGCCAGGTTTCCCACAAATGTCCAGCTGGCTGGTGTACAAGGGGTCATGGAGGCCTGGAGAGTCGAGCTGGCAGTCGGCATAGGGTGAGTAGTAGGTGCAACGTCAGGGAATGAACCAAAGTGTTGTTTGGGGATGCCTCGTGTCCAACTCGGATCGTGTGCAGCGCCACGTGGGTGGGTCCTCTTCTGCTGCTGGCCCAGACCCCCACTCCCGGCTCGAAGGCGGGGTCTGGGCCAGATATCGCCTAGTCTCGCTCAGCCAATTTCCCAGTATGTATCCTTTTGCGGCCTTTCTGTCGGCACATACGTTGCTTAGACTTTGTCTTTGGTTTGCTTGCGCACTGCCCGCAGAAGTAGGAGTGGTTCTCGCCTCAAGGCATGTGTTGGGTTTCATCAGTACACGGTGAGCGTGAGATGACCTTTGCCGAGCGCTCAAGGAACCGCTTTGCCATCGAAGGGATGGATGAGGCCTGTCCGGCGTGCATGAAGTAAATCTCTCATTTGCTCATATTTGCTCCATGCCCACTCAGATAGATGAGAGGAATTCACGCTAAGCTCCTGGTCTTGGTACTAGTAGCTCCATCGGAGGCAAGGATTGCGTGCAACAGTATTCAACAGATCAGAATCGCTCACATCTGCCAGATGAATCTGAAAGCCAACTTCGTGCTGTGATGGTTGCAATACACAGATAGTCGCTATGGTGCACATCGGTCTATCTGCATTGCATTGCATTGAGCTCGGCTGTTCAGGGAGTCGAAAGGTAGGCTTTGGCAGCCAGTGAATGGCAAAGAAACAAACCAATATGTAGGCAGATGAATACATGTGTGTAAATATGTAGGCAGATGAATACATGTGTGTATAGATATATGCAGATAAAAACAGTTAACATACCTGTATGAGTGTGTGTGTGTATATACATATATATATGGGTAGATATGCATATACATGTGTATCTATATACATATATATCTAGACACAGAGAGAGCGACAGCTCAGAAATCGCCCTGGAACGGAACCAGTTTCGTGGGAAAGGCTGCGGAGATGCGCTTCACCGCGGTGCGGGGCAGAGCAGTGTGTGCTGTGACGAAGCCTCACAGGGCGATGGGTTTAGGGTTTAGAGGATTCAGAGGGTTCAGAGGGTTCAGAGGGTTCAGAGGGTTTAGAGGGTTTAGAGGGTTTAGAGGGTTTAGAGGGTTTAGAGGGTTTAGAGGGTTTAGAGGGTTTAGAGGGTTTAGGGTTTAGGGGGTGAATCTCCACTGCAGCATGGTTGCCCCTCACCCACCCGACCCCTGCCAAGGCGCGGCGAAAACAAGTAAGCCTCCCCAACCCCAACCCTAGTACGAACCTCCCCCCCCCCCCCCAAACCCTAAACCCGAAACCCTAAACCCTAAACCCCCCAAAAAATCCTCTGCATCCGAGGGCCCTGGGGATGGCGAGGAGCGACAGAGGCTCGCACCCAATTTGGATTGCTTCTGGGAGGTGCCCGAAATTCAGGAAGCGCAGGGTTTGGGGTTTAGGGTTTAGGGTTTAGGGTTTAGGGTTTAGGGTGCTTGTAGGTGCTTGTCCGGTGGTTGCGGGTTCAGGGCTTCGGTGGGGGGAGCTTGTAGGAGATGTTTGTGGCATTGCAGGCCTGACACAGCCCTTGACGACAAGGAATAGGCCGGAATAGGCTTGTCACGTCTCTGCATCGCCAGCAAAAATGGGGGGGGGTTCCGAAATTCGGGGGTAAAGGGGGTTTGTATTTACTATTTGGGGGTACCTTATTATAAGGCAGAAATGGGGGGGGGGCCTTCCGAAATTCGGGGGTACCCTTTTGGGGTCCTTATTTTAGGGGGCTTTTACTATTTGGGGATCTATAGTGGGGATGCCCTATTTCCGTAAA